CAGGCAGTGCGGGGCCCTCTTGCTCCTGGTCCTGTGCCCGCACTCCCTGACAGCAGCTAGAGCCACTGTAAGGCCCTCTTGCAGTAAGAACCCAGCCCAGGGTCTGTGCAGAGGAGGACGCAGCTCCACCCTCCCCATGCCCCCCAGTTCTATACAGAGGAGAACGCAGCTCTGCAGACCGCTGTGACTCCATGCACCGCGGTGGTGTGACATGATGCACGCCAGTGGCGGAGCCTCAGGAATCTCAAAGGCGGGCGTGGCGCCCCCTGCTGGGGGCCCTCTTGCTCACGACGCTGTCACCGCGCCCCCTTCTGGCGGCTAGGGCCACTGCAGGGCCCTCCTACAGCGTGGTGACTGGCATCACCTGCTGGCAGCTGGAGCACTGCAGGGCCCTCTTGCTCACAGTGTAGTGGCAATATGCCCGCTGCTGGCAACCAGGGCAGTGCTACATCCTCTTGCCCACGGTGTGGTGCCTGTGCTGCTGGGCACTCTTACTCTCGGTGCAGTGGGGGCACGCCCCCTGCTGGCTACTCGGGGCACTGCAAGAGCCCCTCGCTCATAGTGTCCTGGCAGCACTCCCGTGATGGGAACTAGAGCACTGCCGGGTCCTCTTGCTCATGGTGTGGTATTCATGTGCCCCCGTTGGCTGCTCGGCACACTGTAGGGCCCTGTGGCTCACAGTGTAGCGGCCCTGCTGGCAGCTGGGACACTGTGGGGCCATCTTGCCCATAGTGTACTGGTGGCACACCCACTGCGGGCAGCTGGGACACTGTAGGGCCATCTTGCCCATAGTGTCCTGGCGGCACTCCCCTTGCTGGCTGCTTGGGACACTGTAGGGCCCTCTTGTGCACAGTGTAGTGGAGGCATGCTCCCTGCTGCCTCTGTCTCAACTCTCCCCGTTTTGTCTGGTTTTTCTGCTCCTACCTTAGGTCCCCAACTTGCCTCTCTTTGGCTTGTGGGGCCTCCTCACTCTTGGTTAAGGCACATGTGTGGTGATCAATCCAAATCCACTGTTGTGGCTGGCTCCTTCCCGCCTCCCAGGAAGGCCCTACAGCAGTCACATCTGTACCTCCTGTGCCTCCCTATCTCTTTCAGATACCCTTCCCTGCCCTAATCTGAGAAGAGAAATCTTCCCCAGGTTTCTCTTAAAAATGTCCCCTTTGTCCTTCTTGTCAGCATGTAGCTAGCAATTTTCTGACATTTTAACTGTAGAGTGAATGATGATTGGGGCACCCTAAGATGAGTTCTAGGGTGTTTCTTTCTGCATAGGTACCTCTTCTTCCTCCTACCCACAACTGACAAGCGCCCATCCACTCCAGCATTAGAGATGCTACTAATATATAAGTTTTTGATGGTCCTTCCAGGTGAGCCTTCCCATCATGTTCATGTCTAGCTATCTACCGACTCTAACAGAGCCCACTATCTTGTGTCTTTCCCAAAATAAGTGAAAGAACAATTCATTGGAAACCATAGGAAATAAAATCAATCTAGATGAAAACCTTGCAACTTATACAAATAACCACTCAGAATCATAATTACACTAAAAATGCAAAACGATACAATTTCTAGAAGAAAACATAGAATAAAATCTATCTGCTCTTTTGGGTTCGGTGATGAATTTTAACAAACAACACAAACTGTCAATACACACCAAAAAATTAGATGGATTTTTTTTAATATTAAAAGTGTGTACTCTGGAAAAGATCTTGTTAAGGGAATAAAAACACAAGCCACATATTGAAAGAAACTCTGCAAAATACAGATCTGAGAAAGAATTTGTATTCAATATACAAAAGTATCTTAAAACCAAGTAAAGCAGCCCAATTATAGATGTACACAAATCTGGACACCTAACCAAAGGATTTAAGAGAAACCAGCCCCTTCAAAAGACTCCACCACAGAGATCAACCATCTGCCTGAAGCTGCCTTTCCTTTCTTGCCTGATAAGAGGCCACCCATGACAGAGAGGGTCTGGACAGTATATAGTAGATGCACAGAGCAAGTTTTCATGTCCTCTGCTTCACCTTTTGATGTCAGAAGGCTGAAAACTTCACCCCTTACCCTGTCATCATGGTAACACTGCCATTTTTTTGTACATGGGACCTATGAGGAAGAAACTCAACTGCGATTGCACAATTTCTCCTTTCATAAATATTCATGACTACTCCTAGAGCTTATTAAATATTTGTATTTGGCCATGCCACTCAGCATAAATTTCTGTTTTCTTTATCTCTCCCTTGAAGTGTCTGCTTCTGGCTTCTGGCTGGAGCCTATGCTTCCCAGCCTATTAGAAGGACTACCCTGCAGGCTGCAACCCTTTACAGGAAGTAAATCTCTCACTGGGTGCAGTGGCTCATGCCTGTAATCCCAGCAATTTGGGAGGCCAAGGCAAGTGAATCACCTGAGTTCAGGAGTTTGAGACCAGTCTGGCCAACATGGTGAAACCCTGTCTCTACTAAAAATACAAAAAATTAGCTGGGTGTTGTGGTGGGTGTCTATAATCCCAGCTAATTGGGAGGCTGAGGCAGGAGAATCACTTGAAGCTGGGAGGTGGAGGTTGCAGTGAGCCAACATCACACCATTGCACTCCAGCCTGGGCAACAAGAGTTAAACACCTTCTCAAAAAAATAATTAATAAAAAAGAAATCTCTCCTTTCCAAATTTATGAACCACATCATTCTTTTTAGTTGATAGTGTTAAAAAGTTCAAAAAGACCTTCCATACTCTCCCACAGAAGCCCTAGAAACTGTCATTTTATTTTGGATGCCTGAGAACTTGTAATCAAATGACTAGAAATGTTGAAATTGTGCTTTACCAGCTATGTATCTCTTAATCCAATCAAGCAAATGTCAAAAATTAACCATCAGAACATTCATGCCTGATTCATGAATATGATTGTGTCCTTAACCGAAGGGAAACTTGGGACACAGAAACACGCACAGGGAAGAAGGTTTGTGAAGCCTGGCGCTTTGCTGTCATAAGCAAAGAAACTATCAGAAGCTGTAGAAAGGCCTGGAGCAGAAGCCTCCCTAGGGTCTTCAGAGGGAGCACAGTCCCACCAACAGCTTCATTCCAGACTCTGCACTTCACAACTTGGAGACAACAAATGTGTGTGGACAAGGAGGGATGGGGCAGGGGTAGCCTCCCCGAAGCTCTCCCTGACTCTCCACCCCATTGTACCCAGAGCTGACCCTGAGCCTCCATCCTGCTGTCACTGGAGCCCAGAAAACTCAGGGCTAACCCAAAGCCCACCTCTCACACCTCCCCCGGCTCCTCCTCCAGCTACCCACACTTTGGAACAGCCATCACGTCCCTTTAATCTCTAGTGAAGGTGCCTCAAGAAGGCACAGAGTGGCACAAGAGGGTGCCTCACCTGTGTCCACTGGGCCCAGGCTGGCCCTTTAAGGAGGTGAGGGCATATCCCACTTCTCAGAGAGACCAGGGATAAGGCCAGAAAGGGGAGAGGGGGAAGTGTTTGGGGGGTGCTGTGGGCAAAGGGTGCTGAGGGCAGCGGCCCCTCCCCACAGGTGGAAGTGGAGCGGGTGAGGAGGAGCCTTCAGCCTCCCACTGGACCAGACCTCTAACCACTGTATAGGTGCCACTTCTTGGGAGGTCAAGTCCCAGTCAAAGGTCAGCTCCAGAGATTTTATTTTTCCCAAAATGGACATGATGCAGCTGCCTGAGTCATGGTTCTAGAATTTTCCAGACTGAGCCTGCTCCCTGATGACAGTGAGCAACACACCCTGGCAGTTCCTGTACAGCCGGTACCCAGAAGCACATACAATAAGAAAAAGAAAATATAAGCTCTTTGGGAGACTGATCCCAGGATTCCAACATCTAAATAACATTTGTGCTCTGGATAACTGAAAACAAGCAAAAAAAAATATTTCTGCTCCTTAAGACAGCTGAACGTGGGAAAATTACGCCAAAACCATGACACGCCATCTGCAAAGCCCTATTCTCTTACGTACTTGGAGCTAGCCATTTCTCCATTCGTCCATTCCGATTCCACATTTATTAATGAAAAATAATGCCTTCTCTACATCTGTGAATGTTACATAATCAAGCAATAACAGAAATATTTGCTGAAAGTAAATACATGTTAGTAAAGAAAAGACATTCTTAAGGTTTAGAAAAGAACATATTCAAGAATTTGAATCCCACACAGGGTGCGGAAGCAATGCTAAGGATAAAATATCCTGACTGCCTTTATTAACGTAATTTGTGTTCATCAGCTCATTAAAATCTATGTTTCAGATTCCTTGGATTTTTCCCAAGTTCCAGACTGATAAAAGTATTTTTACATATACATTTGATTCTTACATTACATACTTAATATCTCTAAACTTGAAATTTGTTTTGCACAAGTCTATGGCTTTATTACTTTTCAAAACAAAAGTCACATATTAAAATACAAACTACTCAAAAGTAAATAGTTGTCAAGATTGTGGTTTACGATATAGATCTTTCAGACAATACAGACTATATTATGATTTCTCTGTTTGAAAACAGAAAGTAGTATATGATACTGAATTTCTGGTATAAGGTACACAGGAAACCTTACTTACAATCCTTTATTTTCATAAGGTTATCACCAAACTATTTCTCACATATATTACAACCATATTTTTTAAACCAAATTCTGGTTTTAAAATCACAAACTGACAACACATAAATACGAAATGCTAGGAAATGTCTAATATATGAGGGAATTTACAATCTAGCATAAAGGCAAATGCGGTTTTTAAAAAATGCAGTCCATATACAAAATTAGTCAAACCACCTAAAAAATTTCACAGATAACACTCATTTAATATTATGTCCAAAAATTTCCATGTGTCTACATATTAGTTAGAATAATGCCCACAAGGATGTCAAAACTACAAAACATTAGCAAGTAAATGTAAATCACACATCTCTCTCTGAAAGAATGAAGCTTGACTAACGAGTTAAAAGGAAACAACTCTGAACTAACTTTCTTTAAAATGGCTACAGTTGGCCCGTCTAGAGGAATACACGTTTTGCCAGCTATACATGCAAACTGTATTGTACAGTAAAAATGACTCAGTTACTTACAAACACAGAAAAGATCAGCTAAGCTGGCAAAACCACAGAGACTCCCAAGAAGCTGAGGATTCAGATTAAAAATAAAATCTGGATAATTAATCCTACATCAACACTCTGAATTTATGCTTACTGTTAATAATTTATACTACTCTTTTCTTTGGGTAAAAAAAAAAAAAGTTTTAAAAAGAACCAATGTTTTGGAACAAGCAATGTAACTCTGATCATCCTCCCACGTGCCTACCAAAAGGGCCGCTGTTCTTTGAGCCCTACCACTTAGTAGGACAGAGCTCTCCACACACAAGGCCCAGAGACGGCCGACTTCACAAGTTACTGTGAGTTACACTGTTCTCATGCAACACAGCTGCTAAAATACATACATTTGTTCTTATGAAAAATTACAAAACTAACAAATCTCTTTCTCTCTAGATTTATAAAAGATAGAATCTATGAATCAGTACTCCAATGTGATCACAGAAAAATAGCAAACTGAAGTCAAAAAGCATAGGCTGTCCATAATACAGTCCCGAATCTATTTCTTGCACTCCTAATACTTTCCACCTGTTCTTAGGATGGAGGGTGTCAACACCTAAAATTGAGTAAAGAATCATCCCTACAGTTAGGGCAAATGTAACTTTGCTTATTGCTCACACACAGGAAAAAACTTGCTTCATTTTCCAGGATATTCTTTTAAGGGTTACTTGACAGTGGTTCTTTTAAAGATATCAAAAGAAGGTGTCAAAAAAAAAAAAAAAAAAAAACACCTCTTTGGAATTCTCCTGGAATTCCAGAAAGATTACCTGGCTGTTCATTCCTCCACCCCATCAAAATTTTTCCTTTGAAAAATTACACCTGACAACTCACATAAGATTTAATTAAGTTACTTAAAATAAGGGAGGGCTTCTCCATAATGTTTCCCCACTAGAAAACTAACAAGTTCAGTATTACTCTGTGCCAGTAATTAAGTGGCACATATCATAAAAATTCAAGCTTGGACACAGGTGTGTCACACCCACGAAAGATTGTATACATTTATAAGCTTGTGCTTTCACACTTTATAAGCAACACAGGTTAGTTTCTACTTCAGTTTTCATTTATAGTGAGTAACGTGCATGTTGTATCAGAAATGGTCGTCAGTCCCTCTTATGCACACTTACTAGTGTTTCATCATAGCTGAAAAAGAAACACCCTTATCTTTTTCTCTGTGAAGATCCTCTCCAATTTGGGAAAGCAGTCTTCTATGCAATGTAGGTCTTGTTGAATTACGTAAAGAAATCATACAACTAAACAAAATTTTAGAGGTCTATCAGGAACTAGAAAAAAGCCATGACGTGGATGAGTCCAGCAGTTCCCTTCCCCACAACATCTGCTTCCAGGTCACTCTTCAACCGCACACAGGCAGCACAAACTTCAAACTCAGCAATCTGCTCTTCCTCATTTCCCCCTTTCAAACCGGAGACTTATTTTTCTCTGTAATAAAGCAAGTAGTATTTCAGGGGATCTGGCAGAGGGAGGCTTAGGACCTTCTGGCGTAGGAAGTTCACTGGGGGGTCTGGCTTTGTTTCAGGCAGGGTCTTCTCTTCTTCTTCCCTCCGTTCCTCTTCCAAAGCTTCACAGCTGTTGTCATCTGAGGGGTTGGAAATACGACTGGCAAAGACTTCTTTGTCCAAAAAGACAATTGTTTCCATTCGACGGCGGCGAACTCTCCTTCGCTTAAACCTGGGGGTGTTCTTTAGTCCGTTTCCGTTTTTGCTGACAGTTTCCTGATGAATAATCTTCTTAATGGTGCCCCGGATGGCGATGCGAGCCAAGTCCTGGAGGCTGCGAACTGCCACTGGTGCTGCAGCACAAAAGAATGACACATAGTCAGACTCATCTGAGTGACACCACCACACCTAAACATCTAAAAACCGTAACATCATTTGAATTAACTGGCAAATTTACGAATATGTTTTAAGAATACGAGAGAATGCTAAGCAAATGTCAATTAGTGCTCCAATTTACTGCTACTTTTCAAAAGATATTTTCAAATGACTTAATCCTTAACTTTGAAAGGAAAAGGAAGCAATATTGCTTGGCTATATTAATCAGTGCTGGAATTAAAACCTGGGTTACAGTTTGTTCTCATGACAGCCTAGTTTCATTACTATTAGTTGCTGTGTTCGTGTGTATATTAATACTCATCCACTAGTAATAGAGTGAATATGTCTCCAACATTCTTTTTTTTGAGACACAGTCTTACTCTGTCACCCAAGCTGGGGTGCAGTGGTACAATCTCAACTCACTGCAACCTCCATCTCCTGGGTTCAAGTGATCCTCTAGCATCAGCCTCCCCAGCAGCTGGGACTACAGGGACATGCCACCATGCAGGCCAGGCCGTTCTCAAACTCCTGATGTCCAGTGATCCATCCGCTTGGGCCTCCCAAAGTGCTGGGATTACAGGGGTAAGCCACCATGCCTGGCCTAACATTCTTTTATCTATTAGTATTTTCATAGTTATTTACAAATTGAATATTTGTTCCTTTTTTAGTAAAGTAGGAAAATGCAAATCCAAACATTTTTTCAGAAAAAAACACACACCAAAGCACTCTTAGGAGGAAGATTTGACAATTGAAGCTCACAATTTCATGCTGGCAGTATTTCTCAAAGGGAAAGAAATTACATTAAATGGAAAAACAGCATCGCTTTTCCCTACAGGACTCAACTTCTCCGAAGAGTAACGGTCTGCACTACAGAGAGCGCTCTTGTGTTGTGTACAACATTTTTTTTTTTTTTTGAGACGGAGTTTCGCTCGTGTTACCAGGCTGGAATGCAGTGGCATGATCTCGGCTCACCACAACCTCCGCCTCCTGGGCTCAAGCAATTCACCTGCCTCAGCCTCCCGAGCAGCTGGACTACAGCCGCACGCCACCATGCCCAGCTAATTTTTGTATTTTTAGTAGAGACGGGGTTTCACCATGTTGACCAGGATGGTCTTGATCTCTTGACCTCGTGATCCACCCACCTTGGCCTCCCAAAGTACTGGGATTATAGGCGTGAGCCACCATGCCCGGCCTGTGTACAACATTCATTACCAAAATCAGAGAGGCCTGCACAGAATCTCAGCAATTATCATTGTTCTTTGGAAGCCCTCAAACAGGCTTGTTTGTGTCCCGGTCTCTTGGCCCTGAATAAGCAGCACCTTCTCCCTTCAACCTTTCCTGCTTTTCTGACTCCATGGGCAAGGGGTCCCTTATCCTTTCTCCAGGACATGCTCCGGCACTTCCTTTGTCTCTTCATTGAATCACACGATCATGCCTCTTGCCCCATCTGTGCCCCAGCTCCTTCCTCAAGTATTGTCATCCTTCCTTCCTTCATAATCTCACATCAAGAAAGATTATTTCCAGAGATACTGGGATCTGGCTGTTGCCCCAGAGGCTAAAACAACTCCTTCTGACGCCCTCAGAGTCCCAGTCTTCAGCTTTGACATCCCTAGATCTCAAGGTGTCGGCTTGGGATAAGGCACGTGGCACTCACTGCTCCCCTGGCCCAAGTCACAGCCCCTCTCTCTGATCTCCACAGCTCTTTTCTCTTGCAGGCTCTTCCTCTTCCAGCCAGCCTAGTCGTGCGCCTAAGGTTCCAATTTCTACCATTTCCCCTTCTAGGTATGACTGCTAGTCCTTGGTTTTACCTCCATTCTGTGGTTTTAAATGACAGAGGCCAGCCAACAGCTCCCAAGGTTCTAATCCAGTCCTGACCAGGATCCTGAGCCTCCCACAGGCCCAGGTCTACAACAGACAATGAACACCTCAGGCTCACATGTCCTTCCTCAGATGGACTGTATCATTGTATGTATCATTCAATCTTCTCCACTGTAGAAACCAGTGCCTTAGTTTTCATCTTTATCTCTCGCCTGGAAAATTCCAACAGCTTTCCACTGGTTCCTACTTCCAATGTGTCCTGTGTCCATTCAATCAGAGAGCTAACCTAACCCCCTCACGCCACACACATCTACACTCACACGACCCCACGCCACATGACCCTATATCGTGCAGGTCTAAACTTACACACCCCACCCCACGCCATCTACACTCACATGATCCCATATCATGTATGTCTACACTCACAGAGTTTTCTACTCCACTGTCTTCACAAACATGACTTTACTAGTCTAGGAAACTCTGGCCCAGGAAAAGAAAACATGCAAATAACTTGATGGGTCACTTAAGAAACTCTAAAAGCATCACATTAATGTTGATCATCTAACACTCTCTTCAAAGCTATCTCCTCAAAACAAGCATCCCAAGTGCCCACCACATTGTCATGATTCTTAATCAGGCCACATGAAACCCTCATAGGGAAAGACTCATTTTCAACCAGACCCTAAAAAATTCTCATAAGTACCGCAAAGATGTCCTTGCCTTCCCACACTCTGCTGAGGCTCTGGAAGCTGGTGCCCTCCCCACCAAGAGCAGCACTTACTTAAAAAGGTTATTCTGGTGAGATTTTCAGAGCACGCATTTGACAGATTCACCCTCCACCCAACCACCAGGCTTAGCCAGCATACACAGGCACTGCATCTTTTATTTAATGTATCTGATAGCTTTCTCCAGCCTACATGATAAGCCCAATTCTAACCTACATACCAGTAGTTTCTACCACCTGTCTCAACCCTGACTGCATGGGGGAACACGCGCTTTGACTTCTATCCTGCCGTTGCTGACACTTTTCTCCCCTTTTTTCTGTTTAGGGAATTCCTTTTTGCCCTCGAAGGCCAAGCACATACATCACCCTCTGCCAAACCTGCCCTAATTACCCTAACCCTTTTGCATATCCTATTGTTGCTCATTATCAAATTTCAAGAATCGTGTCTATTTCTTAGGACCTGTACTTAGCAGAGACCAAAACAAAGTGTAATCATTTAATAAATGATTCCTAATAAATTAAAAAACATTTCTGGAAGAGATTTGCCAAAATGTTATTGTCTCTGGGTGGGACTATGCACAACTTTTTTCCTTCCTATTATTTTTTGCATTTTCCAAATTTTCTAAATGATCAGAGCATCTTCCATGTGAGTTGTTTAAATTTTAAAATATTAGGACGTTTTGCTGTTATGCTGGCCCTGGTATCGGTTCCTTGCTCAGTCTGCATCCTGAACTAGTGAAACACAAAGGCTTGGCTATGGAAGCTTCCACAGAAAGTCTCCTATCCACACCCTAGTAGATTAGCTGCAATGTGTTCTCTACCCTTCATCTACCCACAAGGCAGCAGGCGCTAAGCAGCCCTGGGGAGCAGAAGCCCCTGACTCTGTAGGAGCTCTTTGGCTGATGGCTCTCTCTGTAAAACCTCTCCTAGTGGAGGTGGCAAATAGGCTAAGTCCCCTATGTGGCAAAATGAGCTCCCTTTTATGTGTGTCCTTTGCTTCCAATGGCGTGACCAACAACAGCTCTTTGTATATTTCAAAGACGGCTAAAATAACCTGAAATAGGCTAAAAATAGATTATAATTTTTTAAATGCCTGAAATTGCTTGTAGAATTTTAAAGTTTCAGCATGGGAGTGGTGCTGTTTACTATCAGAAGGTTCTTTGTAAATTTTGTTTCCTTTTAAAATCTAATGAGATGAAAAAGATCTAAAAGATAAAGTAAGTAAAGACTGGTACATTGGTAGACGACTGGTATACTCACGCAACTGGACAAGTCTTGGTTTTCCTGACTCTGAATGGCAGGGCTGGATCAGAGGAGCAAAAGAAACAGCGAGTATCTTTTTGGTTTCCCAAGCTGAAGGACCGGTGCGTGTTATCTTAGTCAACTATCCAAGAGACAAAATGAGAATATTCAAAATATTTGGCTACTATATAGCTCATATTTAAATATAATCATTCCTATACATACTATAAAAATACACAGATATGCTTACAATAAAATGAAGTATTTTGACATACAGACCCCTAATGAGATGTGCCATGAAATACATCTATCTTACGAATATGCCTGCAAAAATGCTGACTCTGAATATATTCAGGCCCTAGGCCTAAGTTCTGTTTATAGGAAATAGATATTCAAGACAAACTAGTTGTAGGATAGCAAGAGGAAACAACCACACAGAGAATGTGGGGATGAGCCTTGCCCTGACATCACCCCCACGAAAGCACCGGGATCTGGTGGCTTAACATACTGCAGTGTAGGTCATCAAACATTTCTTTTGAATTAAAGTATTAGGAGCACCAGAGAACCCACTTAGACACGACCCTCTGTGTGCTCCGCGTGGCTCGGTCAGTCTCCAAGTGGCCTACACAGGTCACGGAACTATTTTTGATCAGTTCTTTCATGCTGGTCTTTTCTAAAAATATCAAAGTCAGTAAATCCACTAAAAACTAAGATTCTATGTCATGAATTTATAACTTAAAGGACTAAGTAGCTATGCACTAGGTAAACATCAACTAACATTCTTGTATATCAGCAAAACTTGTGTTTATTTAAACATTTTTAAAAGTAGACTTTCTAATTATAATGAAAAACAAGTATTTCAGTATAATCAATAAATGATGTATGAAACCTTAAATGAAACTACAAACCCCTATTTCATATTCTAGATAAGCAGATGAAACATTGTAAAGATGTCCGCGATCCTCAAAGTAATCGAGATGATACAATTCGAATAAAAAATCCAATGCATTTTTATATAGCAACAAAGATTTCTCATATCACTTGCATTAGTAAAGACATCTAAAACAGTCTTCTGCCAGGTGTGATGGCTCGTGCCAACAACTCGTGAAAGGACTGCTGAAGCCAGGAGTTTGCAATCAGCCTGGGCAACACAGTGAACCTGTCACTAAAAAAATAAAATGAGCGGGGCATGGCAGCATGTGCCTGTAGTGCCAGCTACTTGGGACGCTGCGGCGGAAGGATCACTTGAGCCCAGGAGTTTGAGGTTACAGTGTACTCCAGCCTAGATGACAGAGAAAGATCCCATCTCCAAATTTTTATTAAAACAATTAAAAACTCCTAATTTTTATTGTTTTTTTTCCTAGTTCTTTGTGACTGAGAGGCATTCTTCTTGGTGACCAACTCGTGTCTGTACCCAGTGAAATACAGTAACACAGACAAACATGCATGACCAAACGGCAAACCTGGACAAGACTCTCACTAAGCAAAGGGTTCCTGTACAATGCATAACATCAAGGCATTTATCAATTAGACTAACAATGAGAATACATTTATTCTAATAATTTTATATATAATTCTAATAAGAGAACAATTATAACAGATTAACAGTTAGAATTAAAACTCAGAGCAGCTGGGGGGAAAGAGGGGAAGGAGAAGGGGAAAGAAGAGGGAGGTGAGGGGGAAGGGATAGAAGAAGGAAAAGAAAGAGAGAAGGAAGACGGAGGAAAGAGTTTCACGTGTAGTCTCTGAAGTACGTACCTGACTCAGGTTCTGGCCCCACCTAGGATACCTGTATGACCTCCCTCACCTGTCCCTGACTCTGGTTACTAATTTGTGAAATGCAGGAATTTCTTAAAAGGGTAAGTATACATAAACTGCCCAGAACAGACCTTGGCAAACAGTGTGCAAAAATGTCAGTTATGAAGGGAATCTGACCTTCTCTTCCAGTGGCATGACAAGGATCCCTCCCACTTTGAGAAGATTTTTCATGTACTCTTCATGCTCTTTCTGCACACCAGCCCCACAGTATACACGATCATACTGAGAACAATCCGGAGAAATCTCCAGGCAATTCCCAATAACAAAGGAGGGTTCACAGAAGTCAAACCTGGAAGTACAAAATGTTTCCTGCAACTAAAGGTATCACACTGTAACAAGTATACACAGTAAATCTATGCTAACCACAGATTAAAATCCCAAAGCAAATGTAACACAGTTTACAGAGCCAGGGAGCTGGAAGAAAAGAATTACAAACATCCAAGAATTACTTCCAAAAAGAATTTCACTTTATATCTAGAACTCTAGAAATGCCAAACAAAATAGTATGAAAGTAAATATCAAAAGTATTACCCAAATTTAACACAATCTCTAGTCACTGCTGTCTTTGTCATCTTCTTATCATCTTGTGTAAGATCTATTAATACCACACAATGAGTGAGATGTGGGGGTGGTGAAACTGCATTTGGGGTTTCTAAAAATTTTAATCCCTCAAATGAGAACTGTAATGCCTTATTTTAAAATGGCAAAAGCTAGTTACATATACTGTTTGGAGACAAATGCAACAATTTTATTTCAGAAACGAGGTGGTAAAAAGTTATCTTAAATAGGAAACATGAAAATTGAGCAAAATGAACATTTTGTGTTTTCTTCTATTCTTATATTGGTGATAAATTACCTTTACGTAGGTGTAACATTTAGAAAAACCTAAAACCCTCAAAAACACAGAATATTTTTAAAAGTTAGAGCAGACACATGGCATCATCTCCTACCACAGTGGTTTTCTTTGTTGTTGTTCTTTTCCTTTTTTTTTTTTTTTTTTTTTTTGATAGGGTTTTGCTCTTTTGTGCCCAGCTGAAGTGCAATGGCACGATCTTGGCTCACCGCAACCTCCACCTCCTAGGTTCAAGTGATTCTCCTGCCTCAACCTCCTGAGTAGCTGGGATTACAGGTATGTGCCACCACATCCAGCTAATTTTTTTTTTTTAATAGAGATGGTGTTTCTCCATGTTGGTCAGGCTGGTCTCCAACTCCAGACCTCAGGTGATCCACCCGCCTCAGCCTCCCAAAGTGCTGGGATTACAGGCGTAAGCCACTGCACCCCGCCCATCCTACCATAGTTTAATCATGTTTGCTGGCACATGAACACTAATAAGCTGATTTCTTTCTATCTGATCAAAAGTTTGTAAAATTATAATTCACATTCTCTGACCCAATGGATATTATTTCATCTTACTTGTCAAAACTATCACTTGTTCTAATGAAGAAGTCCAGTTTCTGCTTTGCATACTCTATCACATCCGAATGAAGCTCGACCCCATGGTTCACACCAAAAGGACCTAGAAGGTTTAAGAAGAAAACATGTAAAAACAGAACAAGAACTCTTGTTCATTCGTTTGCTTCTCTCTTATCAACTGTAACACATCTGATTTAACATGTATAATTACAGAAATTCACAAAGTTTTGAGGTCTCATCACATTACCACGGCTCACCACATCATAAATACTTGTTCTGACGCCTGGGCTTCTCTACCCTCAAACTTTTAAAGAATCATTTGAAAATGGAAAAAAACAACTGCTCAAGTCTAACTAATGAATTAAAGAAGAAACATGTATTTGCAAGCGAAACGGACATAGGCCTCACCTGTTTGTTCAGAGGTAACATTGAAGATGATTCTGTTTTCCCTGAAAGGTTCCCCAAAACACTCAGATGTATGCATTTTAATATTCACAAAACAGGGTTCAATCATCGTCTTTAAAATAAAATTATGCTTCCAAGTCACAATAAAACGTGTTTTACATCAAAGGATATTTACCAGTAATTTGAAATACAAGTGAGAAATGTTACAAGTCTACTTAATGATGAAAGTGCTCCCTCCACATAAAACTGCCCCTATGTTAAGTGAGAACAAAGTACTGACACTCAGCATAGATGAGTCTCTCTGTTGTGGGAATCCACTCACACAAAGGTAGAAATCAGGCAAAATTCATTTGTGCTGAGAAGGCAAAACAGTCATCAGCTTTCTGGAAGGGGAGTACAACAGTGGTAACCTTTCCAGAAGGAGGAGAAGGCAGTGGAGCCTTCCTGGGGTGCTGTTTCTACTCTGCATCTTGTTCTGGGTGGAGTTTATATGGAGATGGATGCATACGTAAAAGTCCACCAGAATTCACACTTCACGCTTATTCATTTACCTTTAATTTTTTAAATCTACATGTAAAAATTGACAGGGCATGTAGGACTTCATGTAGTAGACAGATACACCACAGTGATCTATAATCTAGCAGAAATGCTGACACATGAACAACCTTCTGTGCATCCCACACCTCTGCATCTTGCCGCATGGGTCTTCCTAGTACAACAGCCACCCGCCCAGGACAAGGCTTCTCTGGCCCCCGTTTGGACAGCTGTACCTGCTGCTCTTTTCTCTCACCGTATTTCATACACAGAGCTGCTGCTAAAACATTACCTCATCAAAATACACCCTACCTGAGAGTCCATCTTTTCACTATTTACAACATCAAATCCTGAATTACTCTGAACTTCAAGACCTTCTGCCAACTCTGACTTCAATTCCCATGACTCTGTCACTATGCCAGAGACCAAAAAAGCTGCTTGATTTTCACACTCATCTTATTTTCACTGACCCCTCACCATCCTTATCAAATACTTAATAAGCAGTTAATTCTAATAACAAATATGAGACACGGTTCCTATGCCCAAGAGGCTTAACACCAAATAATAGTAACACAAACCCCTCCACCCACCTGCTTAATAAAAAGATGACTAGCAGGGGAAGGAGGACACAGGGTGGCCGGGAGGTGTTAGCCACACGGCACCTGGGACACAGCACTGAAGCCAGATCTGCAAGGCCCCCCTGGGAAAGCCACTCCCAGGTATGCCCTGCTTCCTGATCACACAGCAGTTTTCGCGTAGGTTACTTATGAGTCATCTTTTTTTTTTTTTTTTTTTTTTTTTGAGACAGACTATCTCACTCTGTTGCCCAGGCTGGAGTGCAATGGCACGATCTTGGCTCACAGCAACCTCCACCTCCTGGGTTCAAGCAGTTCTCCTGCCTCAGCCTCACAAGTAGTTGGCCACCGCATCCTGCTAATTTTTATATTTTTAGTACAGACAGGGTTTCACCATGTTGGCCAGGCTGGTCTCAAACTCGTGACCTCAGATGATCCACCCACCTCGGCCTCCCAAAGTGCTGGGATTACAGGCCTGAGCCACCACGCCCAGCCTGAGTCCCCATCTCTTAAGTAGCTATTGTATTCTCCCCTGGCTGATGGCAAACAAAGGTAGGGACAGCCTTGAGCAAAGCGGAGAGGAGCCCACAGAGCAAGCACAGGAACATGGCTGACCCAGGATGCAGCTCAGACCTCGTGAAAGGCAGTGGGGTCGCAGTAAGAAACTGTCAGATAAGAGATTCACGTTCACAGGCACCGGGAAGCCGATGAGGTTTCACTCTGCAGTGCTTTGCACAAAATGCTGTTAAGGCTGAATAAGCTGCAGCGTCTGGAGGCACAGCCGAGATACGCGTCCATGACAGCAGCACCCTAAAGTCACTTCCTTCAGCTGCGTCAAAGCAGCATGTCACATCCATTACAGCAGAGAACAGGCCTTTCCTTCCTTCAGACTTCTCTCCTCCCGAAATCCAGTAGAATTCCCAGTAAACAGGGGATTCAGAAAAGAGAAGCAATAACATCAAGTTGGAAGGCCTCTCTTTATAACTTCTAAGTACAGCAAAGCCCTTTCAGGCTTACTTTTTTTTTTTTTTTTTTTTTTTTTTTGAGATAGAGTCTTGTTCTGTCACCCAGGCTAGAGTGCAGTGGCACGATCTCTGCTCACTGCAGACTCCATTTCCTGGGTTCAAGTGACTCACCTTCCTCAGCCTCCCAAGTAGCTGGGATTATAGGCATGCACCACCACACCCGGCTAATTTTTTATATTTTTGGTAGAGACAGGGTTTCACCATGTTGGCCAGGTTGGTCTCAAACTCCTGACCTCAAGTGATCTGCCAGCCTTGGCCTCACAAAGTGCTGAGATTATGGGCGTGTGAGCCTCTGTGCCTGGCCACTTCAGGATTACTTTAAGTCATCTTTTCCTAAGCATTTTGGCTCTTTTCAATAGCATTTCTAATTGAGTCAGCTTGATCACCTATTTCTCCCCAACATTCTACCTTAGTTCCAATTTTTCGGCTACAATGGAGGAAATCACAGTTCCCAAATTCAAAAATGATAAATAATCTGAGCACTGTGTTCTCTTCTGAAAGCACAGGGGCCACAACAGTCTCAATCGAAGAGAAATTAAGGTCAAAAAGCATTATAAAAATCTACACACTGTTATATCTGAAGGTAGCAATATACAGCCAAAAGCCAAATAATCAGTCCCAAAACTTCACCAAATTCCAATTTATACAAACTTATAAAGAAACCCAAATTCTCATTCCATATCCACCTAGGCTGGAGTGCATTGGTGCAATCATAGCTCACTGCAGTCTTGAACTCCTGGGTTTAAGCAACCCTCCAGCCTCGGCCTCCCAAAGGGCTGGGATTACAGGCATGAACCACCAAGCCCAGCCACATTCTTGATGTTTCCTTCACAACCATATATAGTCCATCCATAAATCCTGTCAGTTCTAACAGGATTTGAAAACAATATAGACTCCAGCTTCTCTGCACTGGTTTCATCCAGTATCTCTCACCCAGCTTGCCACAGCAGCTTGGCCCCTGCTTCCTCTTTAGAGCAAGGTTGTACAGTATAAGTCGGCTCCTATCACTGCTCTGGCAAAACCATTCCACCTTACTGAGTTAAAAATGGATGCCTTTCCCCAGCTGTTCCATTTTGCACCAAGTGACATTTTTCCTCAGTTGTTTGGTACTGTAATTGTTAAAAATAGCCATAGTCCCATGTGCAGAATTCCCTCACAACTCATTTGTTTGGGAAAATAGGCTAAATAGCTTCAAATCATATAACCTATGAAATCCCTTCCATCTCTGAAATTAATTTTAAAATCTACAGGTATTACTCTTACCATTAAAACAACAAAGCAGGCCAGGCATGATGGTTCATGCCTGTAATCCCAGCACTTTGGGAGGCTGAGGCAGGTGGACAGCTTGCACCCAGGAGTTTGAGACCAGCCTGGGAAACATGGCGAGACCCCGTCTCTAAACACAATTTAAAAATTAGCCAAGCATGATGGTGTGTGCCTGTGGCCCTAGGTACTCAGGAGGATTGCTAGAGCCCAGGAGGTCAAGGCTGCAGTGAGCCTTGCTCACATCACGGCAATCCAGCCTAGACCATAGAGCAAGACTCAGTCAAAACAAAAACAGAAACAAAACCCAACAAGACAAAAACTGCTTAGAAGTACTTTAACCCCACCGACCCACCCGGGAGGGGCTGCCAGGGTGCTGGAGCGGGTGTCAGGGTTCGAGGCTGCCTAGTCAGGCGAGGCCTCCTGCCGCCGGCGATGGGGTCCCCCCTTGGACCAACACCCCCATATCGCTTCAGAGTGTCGGCCCCACAGACGTAGATGGGCAAGATACTAAATACTTTTCTTGGAATACATCATCTTGATTGAAAACTGCCAGGATATTTTTGAAAAAATAGCTCACTAGCTGGCTGGGCTGGAGTGCAGTGACGTGATCTCAGCTCACTGCAACCTTCACCTCTGGTTCAAGCAGTTTCCTGCCTCAGTCTCCCTAGCTGGGATTATAGTTTCAGGTTCTTTTCCTGTCAAATAAAGAAATGAAATAGAAGTAGAATCTACTGAAGGGCTTTTATGAATATTTATAGAGATTAAGCATGTGAAGGATTTACTATATTGCCTTGTAAATTCTTAATCATTGGCTGTTGATAATTAGATGATGTTAATATTGTAGACAGTCAGCCCCATCATAACAGACGTGACCTTTGGTAAGTCATATGACATATCTTAATAAAGGTCTAGAGCTAAGAACCTGGAAAATCTCATTCGGTAGACTTCCCATGGAATTCTGTAGAAATGTGGATAGCAATCAGTTTCTCAGTCTTCCCGGGAAAATGCCAAATAGAGTAAATGTATAAAGATAACAATTACTATTTTGACATTGTCCTTGAGAGGCTAGATGACAGTAAGTGTGTGTTCTTGAAAACCTGTATTTCTATATTCTTTCAGTTATGTAAGTGACCATTATTAGTTTACATCACTGTACAGGGGTCTGGCTGGCATAACAAGATGCTGAAGTGTTTTCAATGCATGAGGCCAGTATTCCTGTGTGACTCAGTGCATTGTTTACTACTGACATTAAGTGTAGGGCAGCTCATTTAAAAATTTGTGTATTGTACAAAATGAACCCGATTTAAAATAAGACCATGTATTTTATTTAATCCAAAAATTAATGTTCCTAAAGAAAATGCAAACCCATTTTAATGGCTACTATGTAATTCTAATAAAAATATCTGGCAAAAATGAAAAAACAAAACAAAAAAAAGAAGTACTTTAACTCCAGAAGGACTTTAAAGTTAATTATCATTGGTTTAGAGAAAGAGTGACAAGGAAGACTGATTAAATTAAATCAAGAAATCATAGTGGGGTCAAGATTTACACAACTGTCTTTGTTCTCCACTGTCCAGAGGGTAGGTGCACAGTACAGACTGTGGGAAGTTCAGGCAGAGGGGACAGAGAACAAGAGGGGTCCCTCTGGAGAACCTGGGGCCCAAGAGAGCCATGCAGGCCTTCCTCCCTCCTCACTCTATCCACCACTCAGTGATGTGTCAACGTCAGGTAACTACTGGGAAGGCTATGGTCTCTACCCAGGTGGGCCATCAGCAGACTACATTTTCTGTCAAAGCAGATGCCTCCGTCCCTGAAACAGATGAGTTTTCAGACTCTCCTTCCACACTTACCCAGAATGAGGCCCACCATGGAGCTGAGGTACCCAGTACCACTGCCCAGGTTCAGAAATGAGAGTCCAGGCTGCAGATCTAGGGCTTCCATCACCTCCGAGTAGATGCACGGGGCTGAGAGGTGAATGTTTCCATGCTTCCATGCCAAGTCTTTATAAGCATTTTCTTTAAATTCTTCAAGATAATAGTCAGCACGATCGACAGCTCGGAAAGCCTGCTCTACCAGTTCAGTCCGGATATACTGTGCTTCTTTCAAATTATCTATCAGCTCATCATTGTCTTCACCAGCACTCACAGCACCGCCCATGTTCAAGATTACACTTAGGCAATACTATAATCAAAAATTTTTAAAAAGAGCTATTTATGTTAAAGGTAAGAGCAGAACAATAAAAGTTCTAAACAGATACCAATTTCAAATGCTGATTTCTGAAAATAATAATCTTTTGTCAACACCCACCTCACCACCACCCAGAGTTGCCAGACTTAGAAGGAAAAAAAAATCTCAGTTCAATTGAAAATTCAAGTAAACAATACTAAAAATTGTTTGATGTTTATTTGAAACTCTAATTTAGGCCGGGAGCAGGAGCTCATGCCTACAATCCCAGCACTTTGGGAGGCCAAGCCAGGCGGATCACCTGAGGTCTGGAGTTCAAGACCAGCCTGGCCAACATGGTGAAACCCCATCTCTACTAAAAACACAAAAATTAGCCAGGCGTGGTGACGCATGCCTGTAATCCCAGCTACTTGTGAGGCTGAGGCAGAAGAATTGCTTGAACCCGGGAGGCGGAGGTTGCAGCGAGCAGAGATTGTGCCACTGCACTCTAGCCTGGGCAACACAGCAAGACTCTGTCTCTCAAAAAAAAAAAAAAAAAAAAAAAAACAAAGAAAAAGGAAAAGAAAATTTAGTGGTGTCCTATATTGCATCTGGGAACTCTACATCCCTAACATACACAAAAGTACCCACCCAAGTCAAGCAATCCATTCGACCTGTTGATTTGGATATTTTGATGTTCAAATTTTAGACAAAACATCAAGAAAACACTCTTCCCAAATACAACATACTATGACAAATACCTTCTTCTAACAAATGCAAAATCAGCTTCCTGGCTCAGGTTTAAGTGTGGGGGGGGGGCACTACCAGAACTTCCTATAGCCCCTTCTCAATTGCATGATATGCAGCTTTCCCAGCTCTTTAAAAGTAACAACTACTTGTCTTACCTTCTCCCAAGCTGCCTTCAAGAAGAAAAAGTGCAGCAGGTGTCACCTCTGAGCCTAACTATTAAAATACACAGTGTAGCTTCACCTAATTCACATGAAAACATTCTTCCATGTGGAGAAGTCTTACTCTTCTTAAAGCTACAAAAATATCCTTTCCAATTTTATACTTACCCCATGTAACTTTTTCAAAGCTTTAACTTCACATAAAATGGTAATGCTTTACAAAACGCCAGATACAGATTGTTGGGGAAAAAGACCACCAGACCTCATGAAGACATTTCCATGAACACAACCTTTTTAAAAACCTGTTATAATTATGATGAGTTCATTCTTGCTTCCCTTCTCACATTCTTCTGGATTTCTAACAGCGGGATGAGGATAATAAAGAAATACTGGCGGGTGCCGAGGGGGCAGCGGGCAGATTTCATACACACCCGTGTACACAACTGGTGACAGTGGTGGGAGAGGTTTTCCCAGGAGTGAAAATAATCACATAGTTTCTTGCAAGTGAACAAAAAGTGTGAAGGGTATGGCTTAACACAAATTATCTTCTGTTTTTATGGTGGAATACTCAGTCTTCATAATCAAGATTTTAGAGCTAAATGTTAGGGGTTTGCTTTTTTTTTTTTTTTGGTTTAAAACTTATTTTTTTCTTATTCCTAATTAAAATTTTTTTTAATTTATTTTATTGCATTTTAGGTTTTGGGGTACATGTGAAGAACATGCAAGATTGCTGCATAGGTACACCCGTCACAGTGTGATTTGCTGCCTTCCTCCCCATCACCTATATCTGGCATTTCTCCCCATGCTCTCTCTCCTCAACTCCCCACCCCCCACTGTCCCTTCCCTATTTCCCCCCAACAGACCCCAGATTTTGCAAATCAATAGGATGGTGCAGTCATTAAACTTTCACACCCTTTTTGAATTTTTTGAATTGTTTTGGAGCCCTTGTTAGATTACGGTCCATAGCCAGTTGACTTAGAGTTAGAGGAGTTAAGTCCTAATGAGGTCGAGTTTAATCCTGGATAAGCCACTGAGTTCTGAGGCTACACCCATAGCCTAGCACAGTCATCTTAAAATTTAGGTCAGTGGTTAAAAGCGGAATCAGGTGTTTGGATGCTTAAGGATCTATTTAGGAAACGAGCTGGAAATCACATACCCTGCTGAGTGAAAGCCACCTCTTCACCCAGAAGCCTGTATATAACGTTGTATCATCCTATCTCAATACCACATCTTTAGAAGGTATCCGCAAACTGTATGTTGGATAGGTTTCACTTTCATTTTCTACTAAGTAACTATCATTTATTTTGAACTCTGCCTTAATCTGAAAGTTCAGACGGCTTCTTAGTAAAAACAGCTGGCAAGTGTTTTCTAGGGACCACCTCTCAGTCACGGCCTCATTCACACGTCGCAGCACTAACAGGCAAACTGGAGCTGGTCGGTTAATTTGTTCACGATCACACAGTTTGTGAGGAGGGCACTGGATTCAAACCCAGGACTGTACAGCAAAAAGCCTGTGTTTCTAATACCACACCAAGTAAAAATACTCAAGACAGCAATGTTGTTTACCACACAACACTTTGGTAATCTTTTGACTATGGGATAATCCTATCTATATCTATTGCCATTGGTAGGGTGCATGTGAATATCTGTGGGTCTGATATTTACTACCATCTTTGCCTGGTAATCTAACACTCCCTCACACTGTAAACCATGGCTGTTAACAACAGACTGTGGATGTGATCAGTCATCATGTCACCAAAAACACTGACAACAAACTATGCTCTTTGCAAAACCAAATCCTATCACTTTCACCTGGATTCTACAATCCAGTCAAATCCAGTTTTTCAAAGTAAAAGTGTAGAATCATTTTTAGAATGCTGGACTTGATTATACTGTGCACATTATCTGCCGTAATCCTTAGTATTATTCACTGCTCTGCAGTGACTAGCAGCAGTCCATAACAGCCTTGCTGCTCCTTACAATACCAACTACCAGGGCACATGAGGAACACTTGCTGAGTGGCAGCAGGCATGGGAAGGTCTCAGAATTGATACCTGAGGGGGTCGTGATCGTGGCTGTGTCAAAACAAGCACGAACCTATGGTAATGGCAATTTGGGACGCTACACACAGGAGACCACAATCCAACCTGGATGTCACTTCTTAAGGGGAATATGGACAAAGCAATTCACTGTCGAAGACAGGTGGGGAAAAGAACCCACAGCCACAGCTCCTTTGGGCAGTCATCTCTCACACACACACGCGCACACACACACACACACACACACACACACACACACACACACAGAGAGAGAGAGAGAGAGAGAGAGAGAGAGAGAGAGAGAGAAATAGATTTCTCACCTAGAAAACCAGAACTCTTACACAGAAGGCAAAGGGACATTTTTCAAATACAGATGGTCTCCGACTTAGGATGGTTCAACTTAAGGTTTAACGATGTGTTTACTGGGCTGCAACCCCATCCTAAGTCGAGCAGCATGTGTACCTGAAAGGCTGTCACATGCACACTATTAACGGGCCTAACAAAAGCCAGACCAGCGGTACGTGTTGCAGACAATGCCACCTAAATACAGAGAGGCTTTCTAACAACTGAAGTTGCAAAGAATGAAAGGAGCCCCCAGCCAAGTTCCACTGGAGGTACGAGCCGGGGTGGGGCAGGGGGAAAGGCACTGGCCTCAGGAGCTGCACCCCATCACCTCTGAGGTCTCCTCTCATCACCTGAGTGCACAGCTCTGTTTCCCCCAAGCACGACCACAACAATTTCTGAGTTGCTGCTGGCACCTCAACTTCACTAATTCTCGAAGGACAGCCTATCAAATGCCCAGCTTGGAGTTGCTTAGCCATTCCCGTGTGAGAAGAAAAAGGAAAACTATTCACATGAGTACAGAGGGGTGGACATTCAGCTGACCTATGTGAGGGGCACATGAGTACAGAGGGGTGGACATTCAGCTGACCTGTGTGAGGGACACACAAGTAAAGGG